TTTTCCACATCCTTCTTGTAGTGTGGGGCCCAAAACTGGACACAGTATTCCAGATGAGGCCTCACCAATGTCAAATAAAGGGGAATGATCACGTTCCTCGATCTGCTGGCAATGCCCCTACTTATACAGCCCAAAATGCCGTTAGCCTTCTTGGCAACAAGAGCACACTGTTGACTCATATCCAGTTTCTCGTCCACTGTGACCCCTAGGTCCTTTTCTGCAGAACTGCTACCCAGCCATTTGGTCCCTAGTCTGTAGCAGTGCATGGGATTCTTCCGTCCTAAGTGCAGGACTCTGCACTTGTCCTTGTTGAACCTCATCAGGTTTTTTTTGGCCCAATCCTCTAATTTTGTCTAGGTCCCTCTGTATCCGATCCCTACCCTCTAGTGTATCTACCACGCCTCCCAGTTTAGTGTCATCTGCAAACTTGCTGAGAGTGCAGTCCACACCATCCTCCAGATCATTAATAAAGATATTAAACAAAACCGGCCCCGGGACCGACCCTTGGGGCACTCCGCTTGAAACTGGCTGCCAACTAGACATGGAGCCATTGATCACTACCCGTTGAGCCCGACGATCTAGCCAGCTTTCTATCCACCTTACAGTCCATTCATCCAGCCCATATTTCTTTAACTTGGCGGCAAGAATACTGTGGGAGACCGTATCAAAAGCTTTGATAAAGTCAAGGAATAACACATCCACTGCTTTCCCCTCATCCACAGAGCCAGTTATCTCATCATAGAAGGCAATTAGGTTAGTCAGGCATGACTTGCCCTTGGTGAATCCATGCTGACTGTTCCTGATCACTTTCCTCTCCTCTAAGTGCTTCAGAATTGATTCCTTGAGGACCTGCTCCATGATTTTTCCAGGGACTGAGGTGAGGCTGACTGGCCTGTAGTTCCCCGGATCCTCCTTCTTCCCTTTTTTGAAGATGGGCACTACATTAGCCTTTTTCCAGTCAACCTGGATCTCCCCCGATAGCCATGAGTTTTCAAAAATAATGGCTAATAGCTCTGCAATCTCATCCGCCAACTCCTTTAGCACCCTCGGATGCAGCGCATCCGGCCCCATGGACTTGTGCACGTCCAGTTTTTCTAAATAGTCCCGAACCACTTCTTTCTCCACAGAGGGCTGGTCACCTTCTCCCCATACTGTGCTGCTCAGTGCAGTAGTCTGGGAGCTGACCTTGTTCGTGAAGACAGAGGCAAAAAAATCATTGAGTACATTAGCTTTTTCCACATCCTCGGTCACTAGGTTGCCTCCCTCATTCAGTAAGGGGCCCACACTTTCCTTGACTTTCTTCTTGTTGCTAACATACCTGAAGAAACCCTTCTTGTTACTCTTAACATCTCTTGCTAGCTGCAACTCCAAGTGTGATTTGGCCTTCCTGATTTCACTCCTGCATGCCTGAGCAATATTTTTATACTCCTCCCTGGTCATTTGTCCAATCTTCCACTTCTTGTAAGCTTCTTTTTTGCGTTTAAGATCAGCAAGGATTTCACTGTTTAGCCAAGCTGGTCGCCTGCCATATTTACTATTCTTTCTACACATCGGGATGGTTTGTTCCTGCAACCGCAATAAGGATTCTTTAAAGTACAGCCAGCTGTCCTGGACCCCTTTGCCCTTCATGTTATTCTCCCAGGGGATCCTGCCCATCTGTTCCCTGAGGGAGTCAAAGTCTGCTTTTCTGAAGTCCAGGGTCCGTATTCTACTGCTCTCCTTTCTTCCTTGTGCCAGGATCCTGAACTCGACCATCTCATGGTCACTGCCTCCCAGGTTCCCATCCACTTTTGCTTCCCCTACTAATTCTTCCCTGTTTGTGAGCAGCAGGTCAAGAAAAGCTCTGCCCCTAGTTGGTTCCTCCAGCACTTGCACCAGGAAATTGTCCCCTACACTTTCCAAAAACTTCCTTTCACACCCCTCAGAAGGCTAGAAAGCCATTCCGTCACCCACCGCCTCCATCGAGGTCCTGGAGTGTCCCCCAGTCCAGCTTCTACAGGAAGAAGGATAGAAACAAAGGATTTCAATGGTGTCACCCTTCGTCTTCCCATTCCTCGCCCAACCTAGTTGTTCTAGAGCCCAAGGAAGCCAAAAACTGGTGTTTTTGAGGATGCACGCAAGGACAGAGCCCCAGTCACTCCCCAGAATCCACCCCCCTGCTCTTTTCTCAACTTCCTGCACCCCTTCCAGTCAGCCTGGTCGCGGCTGACCTCAGACCGTTGGGTGCTTGACATAATATCTTCAGGCTTAACCCTGCAGTTCGTGGCCAACTCTCCCTCCCACTCCCCTACCCTGTCCCTCTTTAGGGACTCGTTTCATGAGCAACTCCTCTTTCAGGAAGTTGAGAGCCTCCTACACCTGGAGATCCCTCCAGACATGAGGGGGAAAGGGTTCTTGTCCCGCTATTTCCTAATCCCAAAGTAAAAGGGGCCTCAGACCCATTCTGGACCTGCACTGCCTCAACAAGTCTCTCAAGAAGTTAGTTTTGCATGGTCTCGCTGTCCTCCATTATTCCCTCCCTGGATCCGGGAGACTGGACTTGAGGGACGCATATTTCCATTTTCCCCGGGGCACAGGCGTGTCCTCTATTTTGGGTTGGGCCACTAACATTTTCAATTCGCTGCCCTTCAGTTTCTGGTCAGCCCCGAGAGTGTTTGCAAAGTGCGTAGCACCAGTGACCGCCTACCTGAGGCGCTGAAGGGTGCAAATGTATCCGTACCTCAACAACTGGCTAGTAAAAAGCCGGTTCTGGAATCAGATGCGGTGGCATCTCGATCTGGTTTGCTCCACCTGTTGCAACCTGAGGCGGCTGAAAAATGAGAAAAAAATCGACCTTAATGCCTGTACAACGTGTAGAGTTCATTGGAGTGGTCCTCTACTCTACTCAGGCCAGAATCTTCCTCCCCAAAGCTCAGTTCCAAGCCATGGCGGACCTGATCTCGTGCATACAAGCCCACCCTCTCACCACCGCTCACACGTGCCTATGATAGTTGGGCCACATGGCAGCCTGCATTTACATGGTCCGGCATGCACGGCTCCGCCTTGGGCTCCTACCGGCATGGCTGGCGTTGGTCTCGTCCCCAACAGACACAGCATGCACTGTGTGGTCAGTGTCCTGGACTACGTACTGGTGTCATTCACATGGTGGTGGAATCCTGCATCAGTGTTAGAGAGGGTTCCCTTCGCGGCTCCGTCGCCATCGGTGACCCTTGTCTCCGATGCCTCGGACCTGGCGTGGGGAGCCCACCTGGGAGATCTCAACATGGAAGGTCGTTGGTCAAGTCATCAATGTCAGGATGCTCAGAGCGGTTCGCGTGGCCTGTCAAGCCTTCCTACCTCACATAAAAAGCAAGGTGGTCCAGGTCCTGACGGGACAATACAGCGGCTATGTTTTGTATCAACAAGCAAGGCAAGGCCAGGTCGTCTGCTCTTTGCCAGGAAGGCCTCAGGCTCTGGAACTACTGTGTACAACATGGCATCCATCACGCAGCGGCACACCTCCCCGGGGCCAGGAACTGCTTTGGCAGATCGCCTCAGCAGGACCTTCTCGTCTCACCACAAATGGTCCCTCCATCCGGAATTGGCCAGCTTCATCTTCCAGAGGTGGGGAACTCCCCAGGTGGATCTGTTTCATTCAGGCAGAACAGGAAATGCCACGCTTTCTGCTCAATTCTGAGAATTGACAGAGGCTCCCTGTCAGACAGTTTTCTGCTCCTGTGGTCCTCCTCTGTTGTACGCCTTCCCTCCGGTGCCACTGATTCAGAGTTCTCATGAAAATCAAGCAGGACAGGGTGAAGGTGATCCTCATAGCGCCAGCTTAGGTTCGGCATGCTGCTGGACTTCCTGGTGGCTGCTCTGTTACAGCTGCCGCTCAGGCCAGACCTGCTGTCCCAAAACCACAGCAGTCTTCTGCGTCCGAATCTGGTGACACTGCACCTGGCGGGGTGGCTGCTGCATGGTTAAATGCGGAGGAGCAGGAGTGCTCGGTCTCTGTCCAGCAGGTCCTGTTGGGCAACAGAAAGCCCTCCAGCAGAGCAACCTATCTAGAAGCGGTTCGCTTGTTGGACCTTGGATAAAGTTATTTGGCCCGAGCAGGCTTTGCTGCGGTTGATCCTGGACTACTTTCTGCATCTCAAGCTCCAAGGCCTGTCCCTTTCATCTGTCAAGGTCCACTTGGCCGCTATTTTGGCCTTCCGTCCGCTGCTCAAGGGTAGGTCAGTTTTTGCCCAGGACATGACTGCCAAGTTCCTCAAGGGCCTCAAGCGCCTCTACTCGCATGTCAGGGACCCCATTCCACCATGGGACCTGAATCTTGGCTCACGGGACCCCCCTTCGAGCCTCTGGCTTTCTGCTCTCTCCTCCTGTCCTGGATGGTTGCATTCCTAGTTACGATAACATCCTCCCACCAGGTCTCCAAGATTAGGGCTCTTACCTTGGAGCCACCCTATACGGTCTTCTACAAAGACAAGGTCCAGCTGTGGCCACACCTGGCTTTCCTGCCCAAGGTGGTCTCGCAATTGCATACGGGCCAGGACTTTTACTTACCTGTCTTTTTTCCAAAGTCGCATAAGTCGGAAGAGGAGCGTAGATTGCATTCCTGAGATGTTAGGAGGGTGCTAGCCTTCTACATTGAAAGGACCAAGCCATTCCGCAAGTCGACACAATTGTTTGTCACGGTGGCCGACAGGATGAAAGGTCATCCAGTGTCCACTCAAATTTCTTCTTGTATCACTGCCTGTATTCACTGCTGTTCTGATCACCTCCAAAAATCGTAACCACCCATTCAACCAGGGCGCAAGCCTCCTCGGCAGTTTTCCTAGCCCAAGTGCCTATCCAGGACAGCTGTAGGGCATTCAGACGGTCGTCTGTCCACATGTTCACATCCCATGGGACAATGCTGGCTTCGGTTGAGCAGTACTGCAAGTCACTAGACTGTGAACTCCAAGCCCACCTCCGAGGATACTGCATGTGAGTCACCTAGAATGGAAGCGACATGAGCAAGCACTCGAAAAATAAAAAACGGTTACCTACCTTTTCGTAACTGTTGTTCTTTGAGATGTATTGCTCACGTCCATTCCATTATCTGCTCTCCTGACCCTCTGTCGGAGTTGCCAGCAAGAAGGAACTGAGAGGGCGTAGGGTTGGCAGCATCTAAAATACCAACACATGAGCACAGCACTTAAGAGGGCACTACAGCTGATCCTACAGATACTGCTAAGGCAAAAATCTCAGACTGTGCACATGAACGCACACATACCTAGAATGGAATGAACATGAGCAACACATCTCGAAGAACAACAGTTACGAAAAGGTAGGTAACCTTTTTTTTCCTAGTGTAGACCAGACCTTATATCCAGTAAGATTTCTCTACACTAAATGTTAATAGTTTTTCATAACTAGATTACATCCTTTAAAATGTCATAGAAATTAAAATAACACCATTTTAAAATCACTGTAGTTTACCAAGCAATTTGTAATAAATATTTGTATTACTACACATGATTAGAATGCCATATATCTCTATGATCCTGATTTTATTTTTCTTGGATTGGACCCTAATTTTGAGAAAAGCAAAACACTGTCTTCACTTATGTAATAATACATACTTAGAAACCTAAAGAACATTTAATACAAATATTTAATTGTCTTTCTGTTTAAATGGCTTAAAGTAGAATCACCAAATTCCTCAGTATTCCAGTTACTGATCTGTAACTTTCTTTATCAGGAGAGCAGAGATCCTCGGAAACTGCACTGGTTATTTGAGCTGTTGTTGGAGTCTCCTTTGAGTGGTGAAGGAGGTTCATTTGTAGATGCATGGTAAAATGTTACTTTCAAACTGCTTTAGAGTTGATGGGTAAAGCATGAACAAATGTAAGAGATGTGGATAAAGTTCACTCAGAGTATATTGTGATTGGCCACTGCAAGGTGGAAGGGCACAAGAGTCTAATCCTATACTTGCACATCCTACACAAGAATCTGTCTTAGTTATAGTTCCTTGTGCATGCCCCTCCCCCTCCTATCCTTAGTTCCCCATGGGTACAGTAGGGCCCCGAGGGGGAAAACATTGCTTAAAGCACATCACTATGATTAATTGGATTCAGTTAGGACAGCAATTCTCAAACTATGGAGTGCATCTCTTGAATGTGTCAAGGGAGGTGCTAGCTGTGTGCTGCTTTTTTTTTAAAGAGCTCTGGCTGTCAGCCCCTGGTGACTGGGGCTCATGCAGAAGGGCCGTGCACACCCGGGAGGCAATGATAAAGAGGTCAGCCCTGGAGCGGCGGCAGCAGCAGCACAGAAGGGTGGCAATGGGACGCTAAGTCTGCTATTAACAGTGATTATTGACAAATATCACTTTTCACATTTCCTCCCTTAATTCTGCACTGCTGCACCCTTCTAAGTCTGCTGTGAAAAGTGATATTTGTCAATAGCACTTTTCACATTGCCATCCTTACTTCTGTGCTGCTGTTGGCACGTAGCTGCCTTCACAGCTGGGCATTTGACCAGCAGCCGCTGCTCTCCACTCTGCCTTCAGAGTTGGGTGGCAATATATGTAGTGGGGGTGGGAAGGAGCATAAATGACTACAGACACAAAGAAGGGGGGGCCAATTTAAATAAGTCTGAGAACCATTACTATTGTGGAACTATGGTATTGACATAACAGCAGTATTGTAATAGTTACTCTCATTTTCTGATTGAAAAGCTTTTATACTCTTGTGTATCTGTAGTTCATGGATTTATGTAAATCATTAAAAACAAGACCTGGAAAAAATAAGTTGCAGTTGTCAATACAGTAAAGCTAACTAAAGCCTTCATGTTCCAATTTCTAGCCGACTCTACGTGTTGCAAGGTGGCCTTGCACAGCAAGAATGGAGAGTACCAGAGCTGTTGCACAAGTTACTAAAGTACTTGGAACCTAAACTCACCCAGGTTTACAAAAATGTCAGAGAAAGAATAGGAAGGTTAGTGTTCTCTTCTGAAGAACTTTCTTTGTTCTGTTCATATGCATTGAATACTCAAGTATTATTTATTTTCTTTGGATGGTGACAGTCTTCCTAGGTATGTGAATATATGTGTGTACTATGAGAATACAAATAAATAATATCTTCCAAAAAACAATATACCCATAAATTGCTATTTAAAAGGCACTTTTTGTAAACATAAGGTGATGTCTTGATTCTCATCTTGTTATTTCATGTGACCTCTCATTTTCACACTGGAAGAGCTCTAAAGCTCTAGAAACAAATGAACTGTACCCAACCCCTGCCAGACCAAATGGGTAAAATTTTCAAAACCACCTAGGCTCCTAAGTGAAAGTCTATTAAATTGTAACAAATAAAACCTATAACTAATGAATAATGGGTCTCAGATGTGCTAGAGTGGGTTTTTCTAGAAATATTTATAGTCATAGAATAATCTAGAATCATAGCAATGTAGGGCTGGAAGGTACCTTGAGAGGTCATCTAGTCAGCTCCACATGGTGAAACAGAACCAAATACACAGTCCTAGACTATACATGACAGGTATTTGACGAACCTGTCCTTAGAAACCTCCAATCACAGGGATTCCACATCTTCCCCTTGGAAGCTTATTCCAGTGCTTAACTGTCCTTATGATTAGAAAGTTTTCCCAATATCTACTTAAAACTCCCGTGCTGCAGATTATGGTGATTATTTCTTTTCCTGCCTTCAATGGAGATGGAGAACAATTGATCACCATCCTTTTTAGAACAGCCCTTAACATATTTGAAGATTGTTATCAGGTTTCCCCTCAGTCTGTTTCTCAAGACTAAACATGCCCAGTTTTTTTTAACCATTTATTATTGTATGATTCATTTTGTATGTCTACACAGTTTGCAACCTTCAGGAAAGAGTTATAAGTAAACAGCATATCTTTTCATGTACAGTATGCAAAATAGCATGTTTGTCAGAAATAAGAAAAATAATTCTACTACAGGATATCAAGTTACCGACACGTCAAATAAGATTCCAAATGCCATAGATAGACATTGTCAAAGATGACAAATGTGAATTCATTAAAAGTAGAAGCCATAGCATTTTCCCCCCCTTGATTTTTCTCTCTCTCTCTCTCTCTCATATTAAGTGAAAACAGTTCTTAAGCCCTCAATTCATAGTTTTCCTCATGTTCTCACTGAGGTTTAGATGTGTGTGTATATATAGTGAAGCAGCTCAGTGTACTGAGGTTATTTGTCTTGGTGCATTGTACTCTTATGGTGTAATGCCTTAAATTGAGGCAAAGATCTGAATCACAATGATATTGCATTCTGTTTCAGATAGCATTTGGTTTTATTTATTTTATGTGGTCTACAGGAAGAAATTTTAAATTTCAGAAAAGTATTAAATTTCAACTAGTAAAATGCAGCAAATAGCCACTGAACACATTTAACTGGCTTCTTTGTTATTTATTTTTAGTGTTTTGACCTACATATTCATGATAGATGTTTCCTTGCCAAATACTGCTCCAACAAAGTCTCCTCATGTCCATGAGTTCACTACACGAATACTTGAAAAACTCAAACCTCTTATGGAAGTGGATGAAGAAATTCAGAACCATGTTATGGAAGAGAATGGAGTTGGTGAACAAGATGAGCGAACTCAGGGCATTAAACTCTTGAAAACCAGTGAGTTACTGAATTTAACTTGTGGAAACAGACAATATGTTTGGCTGCGCAGAATTATGATTGAGTGCTGCAAGTGGCTTACTTACAATGTATCTTTGTTACATTTGCTTTATACTAAAGAGGTGTCTGCACCTCTTGTAGATTGGACTGTGTTAATGTATAACTTAGTCCAAATTACATGACAATATCTTGAATAATAATTATTCTAATGAAAACTCACGGGCTCTAACGTAAGAACACAGGGCCAAACTTACTGTTGATGCAACTTCACTGACCTCAGTGGAAATCTGGTGGGATATGCCAGTAGTGAATTTGGCCCATACATTTGTCATTTTGCTTGATGACCTTGTTATTCAATAAGTATTTCTGTCTTTTTATAAACAGTCCTGAAGTGGTTGATGGCAAGTGCAGGTCGGTCCTTCTCCACAGCTGTCACAGAACAACTCCAACTCTTACCTTTGTTTTTCAAGGTACCCATTTTAATTACTGAGCTTTTTAGTCACACTTGGTTTAAAAACAGGTTATAAAAATAAATGAATAAAAAGCAATGTTACAATTGATTTTTTTTAAATGTTTTTTAAAATAGAAAACTATGCATATATATGGATGGCCAAATTCTGCCCTAACATCCTCCTTTGCTTATGTGTGAAACTTATGAACCATTGGTCTAGCCTTTTTCTGATACATCCTCCCATTCTTGCACATAGAAATATATGACTGATCTTATGGAGGAATCCTGAGCTGTTTCAAAATGCTGAGAGAGTGGCAGAGAGATGCAGATATTTTTCAGGTGTATGCTCTTACAATGAACAGGCAGAACTTGGCCAGAGTTTCTGAATGCGGAGACATTATGGCGACACTTGGTAAAGGAAGTAGTGCAAAAAGAACAGGAGTACTTGTGGCACCTTAGAGACTAACAAATTTATTTGAGTATAAGCTTTCGTGGGCTACAGCCCACTTCATCGGATGCATAGACTGGAACATACAGCAAGAAGATATTTATACATACAGAGAACATGAAAAGGTGGAAGTAGCCATACCAACTGTAAGAGGCCAATCAATTGAGATGAGCTATCATCAGCAGGAGAAAAAAAACTTTTGAAGTGATAATCAAGATGACCCATAGAAGGTGTGAGGATACGTAACATGGGGAAATAGATTCAATTAGCGTAATGACCCACAGCATTCCCAGTCTCTGTTCAAACCTAAGTGAATTGTATCTAATTTGCATATTAATTCAAGTTCAGCAGTCTCTCTTTGGAGTCTGTTTTTGAAGTTTTTTTGTTGCAAAATTGCCACCTTCAAGTCTGTCACTGAGTGGTTAGAGAGGTTGAAGTGTTCTCCCACTGGTTTTTGAATGTTATGATTCCTGATGTCAGATTTGTGTCCATTTATTCTTTTGCGTAGAGACTGTCCGGTTTGGCCAATGTATATGGCAGAGGGGCATTGCTGGCACATGATGGCATATATCACGTTGGTAGATGTGCAGGTGAACGAGCCCCTGATGGCGTGGCTGATGTGATTAGGTCCTATGATGGTAGTGCAGTGTCCAGCAGACCACTATTCAGTTTCATACTTCAGAAACTCTTTATGCAGTACAGAGTGTAGTCACTTAAACTGTTTTTTTCTGCCGTTACTCCAAGACCATAGTGTTAGCAGGTGTGAGAATCTTACTTTTTCAAAGATGGAATTATTCTGTAGGTCTTGGTGGGCTCCTGTAGTCCTTCTACCATCCATAAGTTGAGACAGCTCATTTCACCACCACTGCATAGAATGGGACAGCTAGCTTTTCACAGCAGTTGGCCTTTCGGCCTAAAATGTGAAGTTGATGTAAGGAACCTTATTTTCTTAGCAGGCTTTCTCTAGATTATACTGTCCAGCCTGTCTGTAATTCTCTGTAGTGAGTAGCTCTTATCCTGAATCATAAGAATACAGATTTGCAAACTGATTGCTTTCTCAGTTAAGTGTGGCTTGGTTTATTAATTGTTCCCTTTTCCCTCTTTCTTCTGCACATCCCCAAATCAAACAGAATTTTCTGTCCTAACTGTGGAGACATAAGTCACTGTGAATAGACACAAGTACCTTTAGACTTGGAATATCACTATCATCACGTTTTTTTCTCTCCAGTGGTGGAAACAGCCCCTATAGTTATAAGATCAAATTCAATTCATAGAAAACAGTTTCTTCACAAAAAGCAACAAAGCGTTACTTTTTCACAACTGTTAAGGCTATGAAAAAGAACAGCAAATTTCATTCAATTTAGAATTCACAAGGAATTCATCATTAATTCCAGCATACTGAATGTAAATTAGACAAAGAGTCTTTTTAAAAAATCCTGTCAAATTTACATTATGATCAAAGGCTACTGTAGTTCTACGGCAATGGAAAAAATTTGAAACTTTGCTTAAGCAAACTTTTTGTTACTTTAATCCTTGGTTACAAATTTTGTCAGTTTGTACCTTTTTTTAAAACCACATACTCTCGCTCACATTTCATTTAATCAACTGGGAGTTCAGGATCCCTTGTGTTCTATATCGGCCCATCATAAGAACTTAGCAAGGCAGAATAGCATCCATTTCAGTTTACAGTACAGGTTACCTTTAAGGGAAGAGTCATTCTTACTTTAATAATATGTCAGATCAGCTAGTTATCTAAAAACAGCATATGTCCCCAAAACACGCAAAAGGGTTACTGATACAAAAATATATTGCTAATATTTCCAGTTTAACTTTTCTTCTAACTCAATGCTAGCCCTGGAGTTCTTCGAGTAGTGTCCCTATGGGTTCTCCACTGTAGATGTGTCTGCGTCCCTGCACTGCTGTTCAGAGAACTTTGGTAGCAGTGTCTATTGGGCCAGCACATGTGCTGCCTCACCTCGTACTGTGCCACAAGGCTAGCCAGAGCTCAGGGTCTAACAGTCCTCCTTTCCTTCTCAACTGCCCTGGCTAGAGACAGAGCTTTAGCTGTCCATTTGTGGATCATTAACTCTTTTACAATTGATAACTTTTAGCTTCCTTTGAAGCCTCTTTTGTTTCTTTTCCTCCATCTACTGTTTATTTGGCCATTGCCTAAAAGAAGAAGAAGAAAAGACTTTGTTCTTTTGTCAACCCCCGTTGTCAGGGACCCCCCTGGATAAGGCTATGCCGAGCTCTCTGGGCTTAAAGAAGTGCCGCACTTACAGTGAGGCAGTCCCGGTTGCGGACAAGCACTCCCAGTGCATCTGTTGCCTCAGTGAGGGCCATATCCAACAAAAGCGTTCCCTCTGCCAGCAGCTCTGGCAGAGGTCCCACAAGGACAGAGAGCTTTGCCCAAAAATTATCTTTATGGAGGCAACTCTCTGACCCCTACCTTCCGGCAGGCGTGATTCTTCCCCTTAACCTTTGACTTTGAAAGATAATGGGGCAAAGAAACAGACTGGGGACTCCTCTCACAAGTCAAAAAAGAGAGTGGGACGTCCCCTCAGTGAGCCTAGGAATAGCTGAAAGCATTCGCCATATCGCTCAGTATCCTTGGCACCACCGGCACCAATACCACAATCGGGCACCCATGCCTCATGGTGACCATCATTATCCAGTACTGCTGACAGGCCCATGAACCGTTTGGGCACAGGCACCGAATCTTCGATACCGACAAGGGCAAACATCCTAGGAAGATGCTCCTGGTACGCAAGTCAACATTGGTACCACCAGCGACAACAACCCACACAGCACCAGGGAGACAGGTACAAATGAGGTCTCCATCTATACCGACATCAGGACGATAGGTTCCAGCAGAATTTCCCCAGGTCAGTGACCTGGGAATGATACAGACACCCAATTCTATGCCCCTCTGTACCAATGTCACAAGGCTGAGCCTTTGCTGAGCATGGGGCATATCCCCACAATCATGCCATGTCCCTCCACTGTCAAGTGAGGGGTTGGATAATTAGCCTGAGGAAGTTTCACAGTACTCCTCGCAAGCTCCATACGAGACCCACTATCAACAGGATCCAGGAATGTACCCACAGATGACACTACCACCATCTTGGTACGGCCACCAATGGGCACCTCCACCAGGCCCCATGCCACCAAAATGGCCATACTGGGCTCTTTGGGAAGCACAACTGCCTGCCTCATGAGCTTCAAGCATTGCCCAACAATCCTCCAGGCACGCTCCTTCGGCCACAGCTTCGAGGGCCTCAGAGCCTCGGGAAACACAGGAACGAGAAGGGGACACAGAGGAGAAGGTAACGCCTACAGCCATGTCCTCCTCTTTCCCAGACGAAGCGGTCATGCCTTCACCACTGTACATGGCAGACAACTTCCATCTGTTCCTGGAGCTGGCAAAAAGAGTAGCGGATACCCCCCACATACCACTGGAGGAGGTCAAAGACACCATCAGCTCATCAGTATCTTCCACTCTTCATCCTCCTTGAAGAGCGCCCTCCCAATCAATGAAGCCATTTTAGACCTGGCTAAAACTGTGTGGCAAACCCTGGCATCGGTAGCCCCGACTTGCAAAAGTGCGGACAAGAAATATGTCCTCACAAAGGAATCAGAGTTCTTTTTCTCCCACCTGCCACCCAATTCCATCATGATGGATGCCGTAATCTCTTGTGGCCGACAACATAATTCCAGGGCAATACCTTATGACAGGGACTGGAAGCTCCTCGATCTCTTTGGCAGGAAGGCGTATTCTTCTTCGAGTGCTTGCTCATGTCAATTTCATTCTAGGTGTGTGCGCGCCTACGTGCACAGTTGTTGGAGACTTTTGTCTTAGCGGTATCTGTAGAATTGGCTGTGGCGCCCTCTGGAGTGCCGTGCTCATGCATCGGTATATCAGGCGCCACCAGCCCTACGCCCTCTCAGTTCCTTCTTACCGCCCGTGGTGGTTGGTCAGAGCGCCTCTCTCCCTTGCCTCACAAATGGTCAGCAATTTCTTTACCTTTCCGACTTTGTGGGTTACAGCTGTAAATAGTTTTGTTTACTGTAGTTAGTTAGTAAGTAGCTGTTATGTACTATAGTTAGGAAGTCAAGGTCCCAGTAGGGACCTTGCCCAGGCGGGGCATGCCCTAGTCGCTGGGTTTTAAGCCCTGCGCTGACTGTAATAGGCCTATGCCTGTTAGTGACTCACATGGCAGCTGTCTGAAGTGCCTCGGGGAATCCCACGTAAAAGAAAAGTGTCGTATCTGTAAGAACTTTCATCCCAGGACACACAAAGAGCGTGACATTCGTTTGAGGGTCCTCCTCATGGAGGCTCCTCTCTTCCCAGCCTTGGAGCCACCCCAGTCAGATGAAACTCTCAGTACTTCGGCCTTGGTGCGTAGTGCACCCCCCCACACACACACACCAGGCTCTACCCGGCACCGCTTCCCTTCATCGGTGCCCAAAAAGAAGTCTAAAAAAGCAGGACCTGGCACCAAGCAAGAAGGACCAAGGGGCATTGGGTAAAGGGCCGTGTTCGGGCCGCCTGCCCATACCAGAGCCATGGG